AATTTTTTTTCCGCTCAAATTTAAAATTCGTAATATCATTTTTTTATTTTTCTCTTTATAATTATCACACACAATTTTTATTATTATCAATTTTCTATTTTAAAAAAAATACTCCGCCATGATTGTTTTGATTTGAAAATGATCGTTTACGTTTCGTTCATAGTCGGCGGTGGATCTCCTCGTCGTCGTCGTCGTCATCGAGCGAAACCTGTCGCCAACTCGCTAACTCATATACATATATACGTGTATACATATATATTAAATGTAAGGCACAAATGCACGAGCTAAAAAAAAAAAAAAGTTGAACACGAAACAAAGTTGATTTGGTGACGTTTGCGTGTTTCGTGTCCCTATAATTAGCTTATGACGAGTGGTAGTCTTTTTATAATTTCTGTTACGATCGGTCAATTGCCTAATAGAAGTTTATGTTAAGTCTTTGGTCGGTGTACCGTTTTGAAACGTGGTCGATTTTGTTGTATAGTCGTCGATATTCGAACATATTGTGTTGGAAGTTGTTGTTGTGTTTTTTTTTCTTTTTCTTTTTTTTTTTTTGAGTATTGTTTTCAATCATCGGGTTACAAATCAATTCGTAAATATAACATTTTTTTTTTTTAATAATGTCATTCTCAAATATTATTATTATTATTATTATTATTATTCGTGGCAGATTTTCTTTATTTATTGATTTTTTCAATATTTTTTTGTTAGTTAGCTGACGAATCATATGTTTATGTAAAACATAAATATGTTTCACCTGTTGTGTATTTACTTTTTAAAAAAAGGATTTCCGTTTTTAGTGGTTTGGGTTATTTTTATTTTTATTTTTCAAAGAGAAAATTATCAAAGTCGTCCATAGGAAGGTTTAGTTAGCACCTTCGTGTACTATTAAATTTGTTTAGAAAATGTTTAAAAAATAATTAAAATTCAGTTACAGTAGGTTCATTTACTTTTTCTTTTTTTCGTTTTTTTTATCATAGAGTTCAAAAACCTTTAAAAAAAGAAATGCTGAATAAATTTCTGTTTTTCTTTTAACTTAAACTTTTTAAGGAATCGTTTTTTCTCAAAAAATTAACTGGGGGAATAGAAAATATGCCGAGTTTAAAAAAAATAAGTTATAAGATTGACGTTTAGGTTCATTTCGATTATATTCGGGTCATAGAGTAATAAAAAAAAAAAATTGCTGAGAAAAAAGAAAACTCGTCTGGTTGTTGTTAACATCATTTTTATCAACGTGGTTTTCCATATTTCGTGTATTAGAGTAGTTGGCATCGCAGGCTGTCTTGTGGAAGCTGCCTGTGATCTTGAAAATAAAGACCACAACTGATGACGTTACATAAATATGTAGTAGTGGTAGTAGTAGTAGTAGTGGGGGGGTATGAGGGGGGGGGAGATAGGGGGGATAATAGGGATAGGGGAGAGAGAGAGAGAGAGAGGAAGTTTAAATTAATCGACCTTCTAGTTTCACGGTTTGTTTACATATATTTTTCTTATTTTAGTTATTAAATTGGTTTATATTTGGTTGTTGTTGTTGTTGTTTATATTTTTTATATTTATTTATTTATTTTTTATATATATTTATATTATATATATATATATATATATTTATTATTAAAATATTAATCGTGTTTAAAATAGGGGGGAGAGGAGAGGAGAGGAGAGGAGAGATGTGGGGGTCATTTGAGTTTAAATATATATATGTAATCGGCGTTTGTTTTTATTATTATTATTATTATTATTATTATTATTATTATTTTGAGGTCGAATCGCGAGCCTTTTAAATTGTTTTTTTTTATTTATCTTTCAAGAGAAAGTAGTTTTTATTCGATCGAAAGTGAAGAGAGAAAAAAAAAAAGGGGGGGGGGCACATCGATCTCGTTGTTTAGTTATCATCATCATCATCGGTTACAAAAAATCATAATAATAATAATAATAATATTTTGTGTTGCGATGATAATAATCGAAACGTTATCGATTAGTTAGTTATTAATTTGATTATTTATTTGTTTTTTTTTTTTTTTTTTGCTTTTTTTGAGAATGACATTTTGAAATTTTTTTTTTTTTTTTTTTAATATTTTTCGGTAAAAGACTTTTTTTTTTCTCTCTTTCCAATTATAGGTATTAACCCTTTTTAGCCTTCTACTATATATATAAATAATTTTTAATTAAAAATGGTTAGAAAACAAAATTTTTCTAGATCTTTTCAAAATGGTCACATGCAACAATTACCCGATAGGGGTCCCGGTAAGTTTGCGTTTTTTTTTTTTGGTGGTGGTGGAGGAGAGGGGAGGGGGAAAGGGCTTTTTTATTTTAATTCGTATTTAACTTTTGACATTTATTTCGAGTTTACGAGTCGATTATTCGTTTACTTAAATGGATGGATGGATGGATGGGTGGGAAAATTATGAAAAAAATATTTTCTGTATGATTGGTAAAAGAAAGAAAAAAACCCCCCGATTTGAAATTTTTTTTAATTTTTATCGAAACAAATAAAATAAAATTAATTTTATTGTATTTATCGAGTTTTTGGTAAGTCGACTCGATACGAATTTATTTTATTAAGATGAAATACGAGAGAATTTGTCTTATTGAACATGGATGGAGACGAAATTATTAAATATGGCCGACGAGTTGATTAAAAAAAAAAATTTTTTTCGTGTTACAGTTGAGTCTATAGTGTACTGGCGCGATCCGAAAAAATCGGGAGTCGTTTTTGGAAGTATTATGGTCGTTCTTCTCTCTCTAACCACATTCAGTTTGATAAGCGTCGTAGCATATGGATGCCTCACCGTTTTGGTGGCCGCATTATCATTCAGAATATACAAAAGCGTCATGTCTGCCGTACAGAAAACATCAGAAGGTCATCCTTTCAAGTAAGTATCATCTATTTATAAAAAAAATAACTTATTTTTACAATCGTGGAAAAAAAAGAAAATCTCAAATCACTCTCTCTCTCTCTCTCTCTCTCTCTCTCACTCTCTCTCTCTTTTCCTTTCTTATTTTCTATAAAATCGAATTTTTATTCGTGACGACGTGGTGGAGTTGTTGTAATGACGACATTATTAAATTAAAAATAAAAAAATTTATTATTATTATTATTATTATTATTTTATTTAATTTTCATTGTCGTTGACGTCATCGTCACGTTAATCATGGTTGATTACCATAGCCTTATATATATATATTTAGTTTTTTTTTATTATTAATATTTTCAGAAAATATTTATTACCGGTTTTGAATCACGGTGCAGTGTCGACCGTATTTAATAGCATCAAGTAAGTCCCCCCCATAAAATTCGAATTCTATCTAACTTTTCTTTTTTTTTTTTTTTTTTTTTTTTTTCTAAAAAAATTTTTGTGATAGAATTAATTTCGATTAAAATATGTTAGCCCGATCTCACTTTAAGACCATCATCATCCCACAATTGTTAATTAATATACCAATTGACCGTGAATATGATTTTTTTTCATGGGGGTAACCATTTTTAAATAATAGATAATAATAATAATAATATCTTGAGCTTTTCTTTCTTTAAAAAAAAAAAAAAATTTTGTTTATGTAACTAATATTTTTGCTATTTATTATTAAAACAGTCCATAATTATTTTCCTCATTTTATTTATTATCAATAAATTGAAAAAAAAAAAAAAAAAAAAAATTATTCGTTTATTTTATTACTTATGTGATTAAAATAAGAATAAGAAGCAAATTTATTTAGAAAAAAAATAAATAAATGAATGTGGAGATGTAGAGGCAAAATAACCATTAATTCAATGTGATAACATACATTATTAAATAATAATGTAATAATTTAAAATTTTTTTAATTATTATTATTAAGAAAACTTTCTCTGTCGTCATCTAGGGAATATATGGAAGTTGATGTAACGTTAAATCCGGACAAGGCAAGAGAATTTTCCGATGCGGCCATTGTTTTCGTTAACGAAGCTCTGACAAAATGTCGAAATCTCTTTTTGGTCGAAGACATATTCGAATCCGTTAAATTTGCAATGGCTCTCTGGTGTTTAACATACGTCGGAGCTTGGTTCAACGGTCTTTCACTTCTCATAATTGCTTTCGTCGGTTTATTTACTCTACCGAAAGTTTACGAAAATAATAAAACTCAAATCGACTCCAACTTGAACCTTGTCAAAGGGAAAATAAATGAATTTACAGAAAAGTAAGTAATAGTGGTAGTAGTAGTAATGCTTTATCGGGGGGGGATGTGTGTAATCACACGCGCACACGTGGAATGTCACGTGGGTTTGACAAAACAAAACAACAAAAACTTTAACGTTCGGTCGATGTTAATAATTATTTTTTTTATTTTTTTTTTTTTACTTAAAGAATAAAAGCTGTGAGTCCAGTGGGAAAAAAAACAGAAGAAGGAAAGAATAAAAGCGAATAAGAAGAATAATTTAGAAAAGGAAGAAAGAAAATAAGAAGAAAATCGGTTAATTAAAAAAAAAAAATGTTGTATGGACGATTAAAAATTTACATTAAATATTAAATATTAAAAGAAAAAAGTATAAAAGCACTTTTACATAACATTAATACAAATAATTGAAAATATTTTACTTTTATTTTTTATTTTTTTTTTTTTATTAATGGAAATTTCAAGATGGATAATTGCATAAAATTAATAATTAACACACACACCCACACACCTAAACACTCAACATATTGAAAAAATAGGAAAATTCTTTTTTTTTGGGGGGGGGGGGGTGGGGAAAAATAAAATTGGAAAAGAAAAACCGTAAAGTTTTCAATCACAGATAGTAAAAAAATATGGAAGAAAATGGGGGGGGGGGAAATGTGATTATCATATTAATTTGTCAGTGTGTTTTATGTTTTTGATTTTTTTTCGAGAGTGTTTCTACCATTTTGTGGTATTTTTTTAAAAAGAATAATTTTCGGCATCGTTAAATTCCATAATAATAATAATAATAAATAAATAATACCGAAATCAGTTGTTGGGAAAGGAAAAAAGAAAAAAGAAAAGTTTTTTGTTGTAATATACGTATTTTTAACGGATGATTGAAATTTACATAATGCCATTTTTTTCTTTTATTAATTATTATCATTATCATCGTGATGCAAATTATTTTTTTTAAATTGTTTTTATTTATTATTTGGTTTCTATGTATTAATAAAATTATTCAAACTATAAAAAAATTATTTTTTATTTTAACGTTGCTGCTTATTATTATTATTGTCAAGTTTAATTATTTAAAGATTTCGATATTATTAAAAATTATATTATTATTATTATAAATAAAGGATAAATAAGGATAAATAAATAAAAATTTTCTTTTTCAAAATTTAAATATATATATATATAATAATTAAATTAAATTTTTAAATAATATTATTATTAATAAAAAGTTTATATATATATAAACAATACATTTTTAATATAAATATCATATAATATAATATTATGTATCTATGTATGCGGATATAGAGGCATACATAATAAATAGGCATTTATTTCAATCTAACGTTAAAAAAAAAATAAAAAAAATTCTTTTATCTTTTTATATATATAAATAATAATAATAATAATTTTTAGACCAAATAATTAATAAATAAAAAGTTAATAAATTAATCCAATGAATGAATGATATTATTATTATTTTTTTTTTTTTAAATAAGAAAAATATGTATAAAATTTATTTATAAGGCTGAATTAAAGGTACTAATTTATTATTATTATTATTATTATTATTATTATTATTATTATTAAAAAAGGTTAAATTAAAAATTATTTGATATGTGTATAAATATATTTTATTAAATTTTAAATTCAAAAATTCTTAACATTATCATTATTATCACTGCTTTTCGTATATGAAATTCGTCGTTATTTTTTTTAAAAATTTAAATGCTCTAAAACGCTGTGTTAATTATTATTATTATTATTATTATTATTATTAAAATTTAATTTAATTATTATTATTAATTTTTATTTTTATTAAAATTATTATTACTTACTATTATTATTATTGCTATTCATTTGGCTTGAATTATTATATGTAGTATTATTATTATTATTGTACAATAGTATAAGATTTTAATTAATATTTTATAAATAATAATAATAATAATAATAATAATAATAATAATACCGATGGGAAACAATTTTTAAACTCAAACCAACAATTATTTTTAAAAAAAAATTTTTTTTTATGTACTTATATATATATATATATATTTGTTATAAAATGTTTTATATACTCCAGTTGGTGGTTGGTATGCTATAAAATTTTATTAATTGTTTTTATTTTTAATTATTATTATTATTATTATTATTATTATTATTATTATTATTATTATTATTATTATTATTATTTAATCGTCTTGTGAAAAGAAATTTATTTTCTATTGCTTGGTTGTTTTACCTATTTTTTTTTTTTCTGATTCGATAAACCAAGATCAGGTTGGTTGCTTATCACATTTATTTGTTGTGATAAAATAATAATAATGAGGAAATCCACGCAAACAACCACAGAAACAACAACAACAAACAAACAACAAACAATAAACACACACACACTGCACAAATTTATGTATCCATTTTTATTTATTTTAATATTTTTGTTCTTCTCTTAGGTTGTGAAATCTGCTAGTCAGTCCATCGAGTAATTAAAAATCATTATTAATTTGTAATTTTCTCCTGCTTTTCTTTTCTTTTGTTTTTTTTTTTTTAATCTTTTCACAAGCTAATTATTATTATTATTATTATTAATTATAAAAGGGAAATTAAATTAATGGTTTCTAAATATTTTTTTTTGTTTTTGATTATTATAATAGACAAGGGTGCAATTTATCGAAAAATGTGATTATTGTACAGATTTATTATTTTTTTTCATTTTAAAATTATATCTATAATTAAATAATAAACAAAAGTTAAAGGGGAAGATGATGATAATAATAATAAATAAATAAATAAGTCTTTGTTTTTAGTGTTTAAAAATAAAATTTAAATAGTAACTATATATATATATATAATAGTTAAGACAAATTAATAATCATAAAATTTATAATTACTTTTTAATTTTAGAAAATTAGCTTTGATTAAAAAAAAAAAAGGAAAAAAAAGAGAGAAAAAAAAAAATTAATGATTACTCTTTATTATTAAAAAATAAATTATTTTTAATTTGAATTGTAAAATTTTTCTTTTTTTTTTGTTTTTTTTTTCTTATTAAACTGTGCTTTGTACTACTAAATAAAAAATTATATGTAAATTTTTGGTTGGAATTACTTTTTTTATTTTTATTTTATTTTTTATTTTTACGATACCTGTTTTTTTTTTTTTTCAATATATTTCCAAATCAAATAATAATTTACAACATGGTTTTTTTAAATAAATTTTTAAATTGTTTGTGAAAAATGTCCAAAAATAAGAGAATGATAATGATAATAATAATAATTGTAAGGGTGAGTATGAAAAGTACGTTTATGAATTTAAAAAAAAAAGAATTGTCTGCGCATGCGCGACCTTCACGTGGTTCTGAAGGTGTCCGCAACAGACGGTCGCTTAAAAAGTTTTGTGTCAAGTAGTTGTTTGAAGAAATTTGCGTTGAAAAATTTTGAAAATATATTTATTTATTTATTTTTGTATGAAAATTTACAATATAAAGTAATAGTATAAATAATTTTATTTATAATGGCGGCTGTTGCATCGTCGGATATAGATAGAAGAAAACAAATAAGCGTGAGAGGGATTGCGGCTGTTGAAAATGTTGCAGAAGTAAAAAAAACTTTCAATAGGCATCTACATTATACCCTTGTCAAAGACAGAAATGTATCCACTCCTAGGGATTATTATTTTGCCCTTGCTCATACAGTTAAAGATCATTTAGTGTCCAGATGGATTAGAACACAACAGTATTATTATGAAAAAGATCCGAAGGTATGATAATTGTTGTTTTCATATTTAACTGTCATTTTTTAAACAATTTATCAAAATTTTTTTTTACTTGCATTAGGTACAATTGATTTGAAATGTTTAAATTTATCCTTTAAAATGTTTTTCTTTTCACTTTTTATCAACGTTAACTATTTTAAATGCATTT